CCCCAGCCGACGATGCCGAGGCCGTTGATCATGGTGGTGTGCGAGTCGAGGCCGACCAGACTGTCCGGGTACAGCAGCTTGTTGTTGTTGAAGACCATTCGAGCGAGGTACTCCAGGTTCACCTGGTGACATATGCCCGATCCAGGAGGAACAATAGTAGTATTTTGCAGACTGTTGGCGCCCCACTTTAAAAATTCAAAACGCTCCTTATTTCTTTCAAACTCAAGCTGTTCATTTTTTTTCAGTGAGCCGGCACTAAAGGTGGTGGTCAATAAAAAAGAAAAATAAAATGGAGAAGGATGATTAGAGAAAGCAGCTCTAGTGTGAAGAAAAAGGAGGTGTTTCAATGCGACCCAAGACCGACCCAATTGACAATTGCCGATGGAAAGGACAGTTTTTATATCTCAATTTAATATCCGGGTGAGGACTGAACGACTGATGGGCCGCCTTGGCCAGGTTAATTGAATTAATATTAATATTTTCAATGTCAGCACTAGATGAGGCGGCGGAGCGCCACTCGATCTTAGTTGACTTAGTAGACTTTAGTGGCACCGAACTTTTGGCCAGACTGGCGCGATAGGCGCAGACGCCGCTCTTTTCGCAGTCACTGCAAAGCGAGTGGGCGCTTCGTTGGGCGTTTCTATAATAAGAGGCAAACAGTTCACAGTGTGTGACAATGAAACGGGCAAAATTAATCAAGGGATTAAAATTAGATTGGAGATCATTAAATAGAGTCAGAGTGGAGAAAGAGAGAGAAGAGGAAAGCTATATGGGTTTGTGAATGTGTGTTTGCGTATTTGCTGACGCCTGGCTTGGGCTGGAGCAGCTGAGGCTAAGCGCGAGCATCGCAGCGGTCTTCGGCGAGGACGCTTCTACTTTTGCTACTGAAATACGTACATTCGAGAGAAATCCACCTGAACCGAGTGATCTATAACAAGATCCGATGGACACAAAGGATTTATAACGTTTGGATCGCCGCCAAGCTTCTTGAACGCATCGCGCATTGCTGTGGGGAGAAATCAATGTCATTCACTACTTACAAAAATGAAACTGAAGAAACCAGCAAGTGTGGGGTACTGTTGCAAAGGTGGGAGCAAGCTCTAAAACACTTATTTTTTAGATTTCTAAAATAGGCCTCCGTTCTCGAAATATTCCGCTGATAAGATCTTAAAATAGCAAATATACGAATTTGCAAGGCAAAAATTGTCAAAACTCGCTATTTTAAAATCTTAAATCTTATCAGCAAAATATTTTGAGAACGGAGGCTGATCTCAGAAATCTGAAAAATATATGTTTTAGAGCTTGCTCGCACCTTTCCAACAGTACCCTACACTTGCTGGTTACTTTCGTTTTCATTTTCTTGTGTCACTACTGATTGACTGGTGATCATTATTGCAAAGCTCATATTTTACCGGCAAAGTCAACCACCGCCGCAACTCCCGTCAAGTCTTGCAGCAACACCCGAGACGGCCGAAAGGGAACCTCCACCTTGTTGTGCTGCTGAACCTTCCAGTCCAAGATTTTCTCAATGTCAGCCTGAGTGACGTGGAACCCATCGCAAGATCGGACCGCCGATTCGAGGAGAACACGGATGGAGAAGGGCAGCTGGTCTGTTTGGTAGGCAAACAGAAAACAAACAACGTTTGAAAACAAACGAATGAAGACAAGTATAAACACAAAAGATTTTGATTGTTTACCGTAGCGAGGGTCATTCAGTTGCGGAAGATCATAGTACTGTAGGTCTTCGCCGTTGACGTTCACAGTCTTCAGAAGACTGCAGAATGGATTTCCTGAAATAAAAAAGTGCGTAACAAAACAAATTAAAAGATGAAGTATAGAAGAGCAAGAGGCAAACCTTGAGACATGGTTTGAATTGAGCACGATATCGGCAAGTGTGTGTTTTGATTCTTTGGGCAGGTGAGCTCAGTTGTGGCTCCGAGTATTTACTGTTGTTGGTTGTGGGTTTGTGAGGAGTTGGAGTGATAGGAGAGTAGTGACAGCGTCTGTTTTGGCGGTGGTCACCTCATCGACTGACTGAAGCTGTGAAGGTAGAGTGCATTTGGTGATCACCGACAACACTACTGACGGCACTTCATCACCACCACATAACTCGTTGCGCCGTCTGCAGTTGGCCTGGAGAGTGCTAAACGCAAAGTTTTTTCCCTGTTCTCGGCAGCAGCAGCAACAGCAGCAACAGCATCAGCAGCACCAGACCTCGCCTATCAAAAGTACAGTACACTTGGGGGATTGTGCTGAGAGTGGACGACTTGCCTCGCCTGAAGAGCAGAGGAGATACCACCAAAACCAGTTGCTTACAAGCGGCCCCGTGCTCTCCTCTTGTTGCTGTCGTCGTCGTCCTACCTCTACTGATGGTGTTGATGTCGCCGGCTGTTAAAGCCATCCACCACCAGCACCACTACTTGGTGTGGTCGTCGACGTAAGAGTAGACACACTGCAAGAGAGATGAGAGAGAAGCGGCAAAGTACTATCTCGCACACTTGTCTACGTGCTGATTGGCCTGCAGATAGCCACTACATCTGAAAGTCACCGTAATATTATACTGCTGATTACGGCGACTTCGATGATGCACCTGTACTTCTCTTTCCCTTGTACTTCACTTTGGTAACCATCACCTCGAACGGGTGCTAATGACTTGAATATGCATGCGCAATGGTAAATTAACGATAGAGTAAAGAAAACGTTGACAGAAAAAAAGGTTGAGGAACAATGGTCATTTCCTTCACTGAAAGTACATCTGTCAAAGCAGTGAATACAAATGTTTGGGTGCCAAGAAGACCAGACTTCGAACGTACAAAAACAAAATACGACTTTATGTCTGAAGTCTTTTTTGTTTGCATGCTGGAAAACCGCACACACCGCCACATCAACTAGTAAAAAGTATTAATAAATAGAAATAGCAAAATATAAAACTTTCATCATATTGCCACTTAGGTGTTTCGCACAGGGTTAAACAGGAGAATGTTCTGAGTGCTCCAGAAAATATTAGAACAACGGAAGACAAGAGACCAAATGTACGGAATGAAGAAATCCTCAGGTTGTTCATCTTCGACGTATCGAAACCTGAGTTCAGGAAATTTCTGCAATAAAAGCAACAAACGGCAACCGTTAGAGAGGAAAAACTACACACGTAACAGCAAAACACAACAAAAGTACCTTTAGCTTTTCACTGGGCCACTGCAGAGAAGAGTGCTTGATAATCTCGAAAACTTCATCGACAGACAGTGTTCTCTCGCCCACTTCAATGCGGTTCGAAAAGTAAGTCAACACTGTCTCAATGTTGATGATAATGTCTTGCACCGAAGGATGAGTGAGAAATGGATCGAATACTTTTCGGTTGTAGAGCAGAGTGTAGATCAAGTTGGGATTGCTCGCCAGGTTCTTCGTCAGGCAGGCGTTGATGATCTCGAGAATGGTGCGCAGCACCTCTTCGAAGATGGGAAAGTCCTGTATAAGGTCGGTCTGCGGAGTGCCGTTAACACTCTCTCCTCCTCCCGCGTCGCCGTCAGTTTTGACGGATGACTCGAAACCTTCGACGCCGTTTTGCTTGCCCAATTTGCTTGCTTCAATTTGACTTTGTATCTTAAGGTACTTTTTTGAGAGCTTTTCAAACAAGTTGACCAGCTTTTGGCAGACATATGTGTTGAGGTGCTTAAAGTAATTGGACATGTTTGCCAGAGTGGCGCACAAGTTTGTGTGCAGAAATCGATCCTGAGTTAATCAAATGGTTGTTATTGGGTCAGTTAAAAAATATGCACTGAAAACTTACTCTACTGCGCGACATGTTAAAATGGATGGTTCGCGCAATGACCAGGATAATCAGGCCTCCAAGAGAAATCTCGCTCAGATTACGTTCAGTGTACCAGGTAACATTTTTTATGGTCTAGAAAGTGCAAGTTAGAGAAAAAGAAAACCAAACTGCCAATCAACGACATAACTTACAATGTCATGGATGACACTGTTGAAAAGGTTGTCCTCACTGAGCACCAACAGAATAATCAGCGCCATGTAAATGTGATGCGAATTACGATCCGGTGAGTTGTAGAGGATTCGCAGAACTGGAATGACAAACTGAGCAACAAAAATGATAAGTTGTAAATGATTAAATATAAAATAAAACTTACCTCCTGTAGGTCGGTGGTCCGGCTGAGAACAAATGTCTTAAAGTGCTGATTCTGGTGAAGAAGCATGTAGAGAAGCAGTGTGGTCTGGTCGTCATTCAGTGTGCTGCACAGCGTTCGGTAGAGCTTGGCAAACTCAATTTTGAAGCCGGTCAAATTCTGATCTCCAATCTCCGACTCAGAGTCGCTGCACTGAAAGAGCGCCTCTCTGTACGGGTTGATCTCCTTTGTGCAGTGATTAGTGAGCACCAGCAGGAGAAGGAGACACTCCCGTGCCAGGATGGCCTCCTTGATAATGTCCTCTTCAGTCTTCTTATTGCCGTAGCCAAGTGTGATGACACTCCAGATGCCTGATGCCAGGCCAAAAACAAGGCTTCCTCCGCTGACGGCTGGCGCCGGAACTTGATGAATAAAGTTGTTTAGCAGTGTTTTCGTAAAGAGCAAGGCGTGAATAGAGCACTTCTTCTGCATCACAAGGGTGTAGATGATCGACTTGGAAGAGGGCTTGGCAGAGAACATCTGAACAGAGAGCAGCACCAAAAAGGTTTTGCAAGCTTCCACGTGTAAATTGTAAGTGTTGTCACTGCAAAAACAAAATTAATAATAGCTGAAAAAATCAGAAAGTATCATGAGCACTTACTCAAGCTTGACATCGACCAGAACTTCCATGATTGCATTAAGCAAGTTTTCCAGCATACCAATGCCAGTATCATCGCTCTTTTCGTTTTCAGAAACTGCTACCTTACAGTGCTTTACCAGGTTATCTTCAGTCAGCGTTTCAATGAGGTATTTAATCATATTGCGGATCATAAACAGCAAGTTGTACGAGTGCCAAATGACAATTTTGTAACTGCAAATAAAGGAGTTTAAATTAAAAGTGTTCAGTTTCCAAAAGTTTTTCATCGCTTACTTTTGATTCTTTTGAGGATCTTTTTTGAGAATCTCCACCTTTTGGATGAACACCTGGATAAGCGAGCCTAAATTGAACGACGTCGTATTGTTGTCCATCCATTTTGAGAGCAACGGGACAATGTTTTCCTCCATAAACTTTGAGTCCGAGCTAGCGATAGAAAGAGATCATACGTCAACCGTCAGGAAAGCAAGGGATTGGTGGCCACTTTTGAGCCCATACCATATTTCATCGAGGTTGGTGAAGGCAAATGATAAGAACTGATTCCAGAACTGACTATCAGTGCTGGGGATGCTACTGGAAGACACCACCTTGAGCAGGAACTCATTCTCTTTGATGTTCTTCAGTGTGCTGATGCTGGAGCCCATCTTGGGAGTGGTGGTGCGCTCGGACGGAGGGGGCAGGGGAGAAGGGGTGGGGCAGGCTGGAGGGCGCCGTTTCCGAACCAGGGGAAAGGGCGACAAGAGCAGCAGTGGGGTTGGTAGATGAGAAGCCGATCTGATGGCAATGTTGCTACCGATGACGATCGAAGTTGCTGCTGTCATCTGGCTATTTGGCTGCCCACTCTTACACAACTCGTGTTCATTGTTGTGGTAATAGACTGTGCACAGTCAAAACACTGCTTTGCGCCGCCGGCCGATCCGCTCTCTTCGCCAGACAACTTCAGCCCCAAACAGGGGCCCAGCTGATCCTTGTTGTGGTTGTCAGCAGTGGTTGCCAAAGGGGATGCCTGCAGATGACCGGTGCCGGAAGAATGGCCAGGCTGATAGACGAGCAGTCTTTTCAGTTCTGCCTCCGTTCGCCAAAGAATCAATCCATTTTTACTCTCTCCAGTTTTGCTGCCAGTGAAAGCCCTCTGGTCGCGGATGAGGGTCGTTGGCAAATTGACCATCTACAAAGGCTTCGGGAACAGCTGAACAAATGCAAGGCTCAAGTGGGCACCTTTCCGCTGCACGAATGGGACGCGCACACCGAGAAAACGGAGATTTCTTCAAACATCAAAAGAGTCATCATAAATCGATTTACAGTCAAGCCGCCAATAATGACAAGGGCGTGGATAAAGTTTTACGACATCATGGGAACATTTCCCCTGTTCAGCAGCACCGATTACTCCACCATTCGATCGCTTTTTCTATGCGAAGGTAAGTAGTATAGTAATTCACTTTTAGTTCACTTTATAACTTGACGTTTCTTGCAGCTCCAGGCGCCTTTGTCAATGCGACAAACCACTTTCTTCGGTCTAACTTTTGCAACATCAACTTTGAGTGGATCGCCACCACTTTGAATCCCTATTACGAGCAGATTGACTTTGACGCCTTTGTTCTTGACGATCAGTTTATCAATGATTCGCACTGCTTTCGAAATTGGTTTTTCGCCTCCCAAAATACCGGCGACATGCTCAATGAGAGCTTCTCCAACGACCTTAGAGATCATGTCTGCAACACTTACAAGTCCAATGACTGTAGCCTGTTTGACTGTGTCACCGGTGATGGAGCTTTCAATTGCCTAAGTGATCCGGAAAATCAAGAGGAGATGGTGTTCAAGCTCATCTTCAAAGAGATCATGGTGGCCACTCAATTCCTAAAACATAAAGGCTCAATGGTTATCAAATTCTTTACTGCCTTTTCTTGTGAGACAATTTCGCTGCTCTATTTTGTTTGCAATTGTTTCGAAGAAGTCACCTGCTACAAACCAGTTGCAAGCAGACACGGCAACTCTGAAATGTACCTCGTTTGCCTCAAGTTCAATCGCAAAGTCTACTTGTCTCTACACCCTCGTTTGAGTCACTTGAAGGCCGAAGAGTTTATTCTGAGCCGCCAAGTTATCGGCGAAGACTTTATCAACCAAGTGAGTGAAATGTGTAAGCAAATGTCAGAGCGTCAAATGAGGGCAATCAACGTCAATGTGAAGCTTTTCAAGAAAGCTACTACGGAACAAATGAAAACAATAACCAAGGAAAAATTCATTGTCGGTGAGCAGTTCATTCAAAAGTTTAATCTTTTTAGCATTCCACTGAGTGAGCAGCTCGTATATGCCGAGCGTTACCGAAAGATATTCAACAAACGATTCATCAGTCTCTTCAACAACTACCAGCATCATAAAAATGCATCAGTATTCTGCAATCAACTTACTGGAATCATTCTTGACCTGCCGCTAGACTATTCGCCACAAGTGGTCACTACTCAGAAAAGGAAACAGCTGAGGCTGATGCCTACATACGGAAAGCCGTTTGAGCATATAAACAATTCAAAGTTCTGCTGTCTGTTTATTCTGCGCTCCTTTATCATTGCCAACGCCCATATTCCCTTCACTTCGCCTGTCACCGACACTGAGTCATTTATCAACGTTTTATCAAGTATTGTCATAGTTGACTTTCCCATCATTTTTTATCAAAAATCATTATTTTCTGATTTCTTTGAACAACAATGGACATTACAACATTCAGNGTGGTCACTACTCAGAAAAGGAAACAGCTGAGGCTGATGCCTACATACGGGAAGCCGTTTGAGCATATAAACAATTCAAAGTTCTGCTGTCTGTTTGTTCTGCGCTCCTTTATCATTGCCAACGCCCATATTCCCTTCACGTCACCTGTCACNCGCCTGTCACCGACACTGAGTCATTTATCAACGTTTTATCAAGTATTGTCATAGTTGACTTTCCCATCATTTTTTATCAAAAATCATTATTTTCTGATTTCTTTGAACAACAATGGACATTACAACATTCAGCCGGGGTTCATTACAACACATCAATACAAAGCAAAACTGTCACAGACATGCCCAACTCGCCAGCTATTCATATTCTCGATTGTTACGACAGCACTTTACCCATTACTTCAAATGATTATAAAACCTGTACCACTCTGAAGGACAATTTTACAGCTTTACTCGAAAATCAACAACTGCGGCCAAACGACACTTTAATAATCCGCTACAAAATTCTACTTTCCCGTCTTAGCGTCAGTCTAACCTTTGTGCTTTCAAAAGCCTTTCGAAAGTTGACCATTATTCCGCACCCTACTCCCGTCGATTCAGTTCACCCCAGTATATTTCTGGTCATGTCCGACTACTGCCAGCCACCGTCACAATTTATGCGCCTGTTTGAAGCTGGGCAAGTTGCCTGGGCCAGCAACTTGCTGGAACTTGTCCCAGTGCCAGACATGGTCGCCGATCAGAGCTTCTACGGTGGTCTCTTCAACGCTAACACTATCACCATTATAGAGTGTATCAAACGGCAACTTGTTGACTGTAGTTCTGTGGAGGAAGAACCAATGTAGACTAAAGCGACTAATAAACAAATCAAATCATGTGTAAGCGGCACTTGTGGCGGCAATCAAGCAGCGAGGGAGACTGCCCTCAGGCTACTGTCTCTGTCAGTCGATAGACTTTACGTGTTGTCCTTGCTGATAATGCTAACACACACATGCTACTTACTGCTGCATAACATCAGACGCTCTCTCCTCATCAGCACTGCAACTCTCACTTGATGTTGTACACACACACATCTTGGCAGTGTCTTGGCTGAAATCTCTCCGAGAAGTCCTCAGTGAGCGATATCGACTGCATGCATGTTCATCCTCATCACCACCACCGCATCATCACTATCACCAGGTGTCTTCCAGTGTGTCGCTGGTGAATTTCACACTACTAACAGTGACCACTGACTGACACAAACTCCTTCATCACTGTCCGAATGTCGCGAATTGTCACTGCCCGACTGCTCTGCACTGGCACTGGGGTTCTCCAAAGAATCGCCAGCTGCACGAGCACGTCTGCCACGAGGAAGTATGTTACCGACAAGTACCCGGTGATCAGGAGCACCGTCGACAGAGACTCGGCCGAGTTCAAGGTGAGTGCATTGTGTTAGGTGGTGTTTCACATTCATCACAAACCTTTTACCCTCTCCCGCTTTGCCTCAGGCGAAGCACACTGACATGAAGGTGCTGGTGGACAGACTGCGAGGCACTCTGCAGACCATCTCACTGGGCGGCGATGAGCGCTCCCGGAAGCACCACACCAGCAAGGGGAAGCTGCTGGTGCGCGAGCGCATCAACCGCCTGCTCGACCCCGAGTCGCCCTTCCTCGAGCTCTCTCCCCTGGCCGCCTACGAGTGCTACAGTGACGTGGTGCCCGCAGGCGGTCTCATCACCGGCGTCGGCCGCGTCCTCGGCCAGGAGTGCATGGTCGTGGCGAACGACGCCACCGTGAAGGCGGGCACCTACTACCCGGCCGGCGTGAGGAAGCACCTCAGGGCGCAGGAGATTGCCCTGGAGAACCGCCTGCCGTGCATCTACCTGGTCGACTCGGGCGGCGCCAATCTGCCCAACCAGGCGGAGGTCTTTCCCGATGTGACGCACTTTGGGCGGATCTTCTTCAACCAGGCGAACCTCTCGGCGGCGAACATTCCCCAGATTTCAGTGGTCATGGGCAGCTGCACCGCAGGGGGTGCTTACGTGCCCGCAATGTCGGACGAGAATATCATTGTGAAGGAGCACGGCACCATCTTCCTGGGCGGACCGCCTCTGGTTAAGGCCGCCACCGGTGAGGAGATTTCCGCACAGGACCTCGGAGGAGCCGATGTTCACTGCAGGTAGAAGAAGTGCTACTCTTACTGTTCAAAGGCACTAATTCCCACTAATGTTCTGACAGTCTTTCAGGTGTGAGCGACTACTACGCAGAGGATGAGCCCTCTGCGCTGCATCTAGCGCGAAAGATTGTCTCCAATTTGAATCGCCGCAAGCACCTGCAGCTGAATGTGTCTAGCACTGTGGAGGAGCCGCTCTACCAGGTGGAGGACCTGTACGGCATTGTCGGCTCCAATCTGAAGCAGTCCTTCAACATCAAGGAGGTCATTGCGCGCATCGTTGACGGCAGTCAGTTTGATGAGTTCAAACAGCGGTACGGAGAGACACTGGTCACTGGATTCGCCCACCTCTACGGTTACCCGGTGGGAGTGGTCGCCAACAATGGCATCCTCTTCTCCGAGTCCGCACAGAAGGGGGCACACTTCATTCAGCTGTGCGCCAAGAGGAAGATTCCGCTGCTCTTTCTGCAGAACATCACCGGCTTCATGATTGGCGGCGACGCGGAACGTGGGGGCATTGCGAAGCACGGCGCCAAGATGGTCACTGCGGTGGCCTGCGCCAAGGTGCCCAAGTTGACGGTCATCGTGGGCGGCTCGTACGGCGCCGGCAACTACGGCATGTGCGGCCGAGCGTACTCCCCTCGCTTCCTCTACATGTGGCCGAATGCGCGCATCTCGGTGATGGGCGGCGAACAGGCGGCCAACGTCCTGGTCACCATTGCCAAGGACCGAAAGCGGCGCGAGGGCAAGGAGCTGAGTGCGGCAGAGGAGGAGGCCATCAGGAGTCCCATTCTGGAGAAGTTTGAACGCGAGGGAAGTCCCTACTACTCGAGTGCTCGCCTCTGGGATGACGGCGTCATTGATCCGGTGGACACGAGGAAGGTGCTCGGCCTCAGTCTCAGCGCCACTCTCAATGCTCCCATTGAAGAGACGAACTTTGGCGTCTTTCGAATGTAGGAATGCTCTACCCTTTGTCGAACTTGGCTTGATTTTCACCGATGTATTAATAATCCTCTTTAAAAAGAATAACAAAAAGACACATTGCTTCACTTTGCCCAATTACAAAGTTAATTCTAGGTAATTTGAAGTATATCTACAGAAAGAAAGTATGACACAGAAAAATGTACAGCGTCTTCTTGATGGACGATGTGTCTACTTGTTTGCAGCCGCCGGTTCAGGGTCGTCCAGTTCATCCAGAAACGTTGCTTGCTTAACCGTAAACAGCGTGTAGGCGTCTGAAATACAGATGATTGTTTAAAGTTAAATCAGCAACAATTTTTACTTTTAATTTTAACACTTACAGATGGATCCAACAACAGCGGCCATAATCACACCCGACAGGCGGTTCCTCGCTTTGATCATGTTTGCCTTGGACATTCTTTCGGCGTTAATTTGCTGCGCCTTCCGAATGAATGTCTCCTGTAAATCAGTGGGCAGTTTTTCTGCCATTTTCACTGATGGCTTTGACATGATGGCAAAGATTCAATAAGATTGGAACATAGGCACAGCTAGGAACAGACGCATCCACTGCACGAGGTGCATCAGAGCAAAACATATGACTTTTGCTTGCTCGTCCTCTTTGAACATGACGTTTCAAACGAAAAAAATGCTCGGCTTTTTTGTTGCAGCAATGTTGCGTGAGTTCTGTCTTGGAAATCAGCGGCATAACATTCTGTACCGGCTAACACCTTATTCCTAATCATGGGCGATCACTCTATCAGTGTTATCTATCCTCCGCCGGAACTTCGAAGTAAGTACATCTGAATGGTGAATTATTTCTTACTCTAATGATCCTGATAACTACTTATTTNCGTCCTCTTTGAACATGACGTTTCAAACGAAAAAAATGCTCGGCTTTTTTGTTGCAGCAATGTTGCGTGAGTTCTGTCTTGGAAATCAGCGGCATAACATTCTGTACCGGCTAACACCTTATTCCTAATCATGGGCGATCACTCTATCAGTGTTATCTATCCTCCGCCGGAGCTTCGAAGTAAGTACATCTGAATGGTGAATTATTTCTTACTCTAATGATCCTGACAACTACTTATTTCATAGACATTGTTGACAAAACTGCTAGTTTTGTCGCTCGTAATGGACCTGAATTTGAAACGAGAATCCAGCAAAATGAACCGAACAATCCAAAGTTTAACTTCTTGAAGCCTGGTGATCCGTACAACGCGTACTACCAGTTCAAAGTGAAAGAACTGAGGGAAAACGGTACAAATGGCAGTAGCAGTGTGCCAGCGAATAGCGCGGCAAATCAAAGTGCCGGTGCCGAAAGCGAAAGTTTTGCTGCTGCAGAACCAGCAAACAATTCTACAATTTCTCAAAATGCGACAGCTGCTTCAGCCACTCCTATCCAGAAAGCTACTAAGCAGTTGGAGAATTTTATGGAAATTCCAATTATCACGAGGGATCCTCCACCAGCATTTGAGTTTTCTGATGACCCTCCATCCATCTCGGCATTTGATCTGGACATTGTCAAACTGACCGCACAGTTTGTCGCTATTCACGGAAGATCATTCCTGACTAATCTCATGAATCGTGAGCAGCGAAACTATCAGTTTGATTTTTTGCGCCCTCAACATGGATTGTTTACCTATTTCACTCAACTAATTGAGCAGTACAGCAAGATTCTTATGCCCTCAAAGACGTTTTTAGCACAGCTCGAAAAGGAGGTTGTTGATTCAAAGCTGATTCTTGAAAAAGTCCGTTATCGAACTGAATGGACAAAGATTGTGGAAGCTGAGAAAAGGAAAGAAGAAGAGGAAGCTGAAAGGGAGCGCATTCAATACGCTCAAATTGACTGGCATGATTTTGTAATCGTAGAGACGGTCGATTATCAACCCACTGAAACAGGGCAGTTCCCTCCACCGACAACTCCAGAACAGGTAGGATCAAGACTGCTGCTTCAGCAACGAATTGAATCAAATGGGGTAAGTTTTTTGCTAACCGTAACTTTGATGCACTAACTGACCAATCTTATTTTAGGCTGAGGCGGTTGAAATGGATGTGGAATCTGACGAGGAGAAGGCCGAAGAACCTGAGGCAGAGAAGACTAAAGAAACCTCTTTGCCGCCTCTGCCACCATCACTTGATAATGTGCTCATCCGCAAAGATTACAATCCAAAGGCGGCCAAAGTGGTGGCTGCTCAGCCAAGCGCAGCATCTCGTCCCGATTCATATTTCATCTCACCAATGACCGGAGAAAAGATTCCTGCCGAAAAACTACAGGATCACATGCGATTCAGTTTGCTTGATCCTCGCTGGGTCGAACAACGAGATCGAACCATTCAGGAAAAAACACAACAAGAGGAGGTGTATGCTCAGGGCTCTGCCATTGAGGACAGTCTCAAGCACTTGGCTGAAAGACGTACTGATATCTTCGGTTCCGGAGATGCTGAAACTAGCATTGGCCGAAAGATTGGAGAAGAGGAAAAGAAACCTGAAAAGGTCACCTGGGACGGTCACACCAACAGCGTGGAGGCAACCACTCGGGCTGCACGGGCAAACATTACCATTGAAGAGCAGATTCACCAAATCCATAAGACCCACGGTCTTCTTCCTGAAAATGACAAGGACAAAATTGGCCCCACAGTACAGTCTTCATCGGGTGGTCATCAGCAAAACCAACCACCGAAACTTCATAATCCCCCTCCGCCTCTCATGAACACAGCAATGCCAATGCGGCCGCAAATGATGCCGCCGATCTTGCCCTCACCTCACCACCAACCTGATCCGTACATGATTCCAGGCAACATGGGTCTTCATATGTACAATGTACCGATGGCACCTCCACCCCTTGATCCGATGATGCAGATGCGACTGCCGCCGGCGGCGCCAGATCAGCTGGAGCCTGCTTACAAAAAGGCTCGCACAGAAGACAGTTTCATTCCGGAAAGCGAGTTCCTCCAGAACAATCCACCCAATGTGAGCGTCAAGATTCAGGTGCCCCACTCTTCGGAGAAGTCAGAGTGGCGACTGAATGGCCAGGTCATAAACCTGACACTGCCCTACACTGATGTATTTTCCGTGGTGAAGGCTAAAATTCACGAGTTAACAAATATGCCACCTGGCAAGCAGAAGCTGCAGTACGAAGGCATCTTCGTGAAGGACTCAAACTCGCTGGCATTCTACAACATACCAAGTGGCGCTTCAATCATTCTAGGTCTCAAGGAGCGCGGTGGCCGCAAAAAGTAGTTTGCATATTTTTGCTTTATTATACACTTACACTGTAATAATTTTAATAAACACTTTCCTTTTTGCAAAGTAATCAGCTATTTTAGTGTTTTAACTTTATCTTCTAACAAAATTGCGTCTGGAGAAGAGTTTTTAGTGGTGGGCCGAGCCATGCGAGTCGCTGTCGTCCTCCTCCCAGCCTTCAGGCAGCGGGTTTGTTTTGGGGTTGTGGAAGAGCGAGTGGTTGCCGTCGCCCCACGGGAAGCGGCGGGTTCGGATGCGCATGTGTTCATAGGGAATAAACTCGGGCTTGTGGTAGTGGTTGTAGTGCTCCAGCTCGAGGAAGTAGGTGTTCAGGGCCGAGAGGATGATCGCTGGCACGGAGACGTAGAAAAAGACCTTCTTCCAGAACTGAGGATTCGGCTGGTGGCCAGAGTGAGCATCAGCGGACATGAAGCGACGCATGGCCACGCGGCTGAACATCGCGTTAGTGCGGACGAGCTTCGACAGCATCTTGGTTGGGCGGGCAAGGGCCGAGGGTCGGCGGGGGAAAACGGGTAACGCTGGGTAATCACGAGAAAAATAAAGCCTAAAGACCTTCACTGTGACTTCTCGTTTGTTGCTCTGTTTTCGGTGCAGCGTCGAGGCTAGAAAGCCGATTTGGGGTAGACTGTACACGTCAAGCTGTAGCTTTTACTGCTGTAGAGCCGTTGTACTGTGTAAGGTAGAGCTTTACGTCCGCTACCGACCCAAAAGTGACGTTGTATTCGAGGCCTGTTCTGAATGTACGTGATGAAAAAATGCTCAAATTCTGTTTTTTTTGTTTGACAATTTTTCAACATTTTTTCCAGATCATGTCTGCATCATGTTTGTTCCACGCGACATTACAATTATCTTTATCTCTAGACAAATAAAATTGCCACAATGGACAGCTCAATGGCAAGCTCACACAACTCAAGTGTGTGAGACAATGAACATGCAAGTATTTCTTTCTCCTTGCTGATAACTGTCAATGTCGACTTCCGATTCATTTGTTTGATGCTTGACTTGATCTATTTTGTAGCCCAATTTAGTCGACAGATTATCGAAGCAATGAAAACAAAAACCCATTAATGTCAGTCAGTTCTGCACAACTGCTGTTCACATCCACCTAACGGTTCAACAGCTCATTCCAGTGATTGCCTTGCAGTGCAGTGCTGCCGGGCACTGCTGCCAATGAGCCAGTGTACAGGCAAAATTGAAATAAAAAATTAAATGCCCATATACTTATTCTTAAATGTCAGCCTCAGTGTTAGGTTCAGTGCGTGCCAGCTGTTTCGCGGCTGCTCGTGTCTGGTTATTGTTGTTTTGTCGATCGGCCGAGAAGGCAAGGGAGAGAGGAAGAGAAAGAAAAAGAAAGAGAGAAAGACTGGCTGACTCAACCGACTGGGAGGACAATTATCCGCATGCTCCTCGACTTGAAGCTCCGTATATATTGCAAACACTTTGCTGACAAACCTTCTTGCTCTACAGCAGCTGCGGTGGTGGGATAGAAGACGGCGAGAATCATACGAGAATCCCGGTACGGAACAGAGGCACACACTGCTGCTGCTGCTGCTGCTCAGCCTGACCACCGTCTTTAGCTGCCGCCGCTGTTGGTCCTTTGGGACATACTGACTACTTACTGACTGACTGAGGAACACTCATCCCGGAACACGAGAACTACTCTGACCTCGGCGAGAAGATTTCATGCAGTGCAATATCTTGTAGCGGCATCGAATGACTGTGCTAAACTTTCCATTTGCTTGTTGACTTGAGCTGTCTGACGCGTTGCACAGTGACCCATTTTTGTTGGAGTAGAGTTAGTCCAAACAAAGCTGGCACACATTATTTGTTGCTCGTCTCGGTCTCAGTTTTCACAAGCACAACTTTGTCAATAACTGATCTCAACCCGTCTTCTCGGACACTGCATTCCCTCGTGTCTTTTGACAGATCATCAGTCCTGGTCCACCCACACACACACATCTGGTGCTGTTGGCTAGTACGTGTGATAAACGACAACTGTGATGGTACAGTGAACAAAATTCGAATCAAGTCAAAGTGGTGATAAAGGCGCTGGGACCAAAGTGCACAAACCGCTTCTGGCGGTACTTCGCTACACTCACACAAACTCAAACACACTCACACACTTCTCTAATCACCTTCTCCTCCTCCTCCTCCTCCTGATCGATGCTGACAAGTGCCTGCTATAGCCCCGTTGACAGTCTACCACTAAAATAAAGCCTATCAAGTTGCCTTCTGCTGATTGCAGAGACTGTTCTTATCTGTTGACACTTTCTACGACCATCGGCCCATTTCCTCACTCGCTGCTGACTTGATCTCCTGTGCATCCACAGTCACTCGCCAAATCAACACTCTCCGCTGCGGACGGCACTGCTTTTTCTGGTTGTTAACCGCTAACAATTTCTTTTGTTCAGCTACAAACTCGCTCCAGCACGGCTCGATTGGATGGAGGCCTCCATTCCAAAGCTCAATAAAGTGATTGATGTGGACCATTTGCACGATGGTGCTCTCCAGATCATTCGCGTCATTCGGCCTGAGTGGGCCCAGGAACGACTTCACTACAAAATATTCACCGATGGCATCACGAACCGCCTGATTGGAGTGTATCGCGATGACATGAAAGACATGATCCTCATTCGCGTCTACGGCGAGAACACGGACCTCTTCATCGATCGGCAGATGGAGTTTCGCAACATGCGAACCATGTACAAGGCCAACCTCTCTGCGCCCATCTACTGCACCTTCACCAACGGCATCTCCTATGGCTTCACTCCCGGCAAAGTACTGGACGAGAGAATGGTACGGGATACAAAGATATCAGCGCTGATTGCCGAGAACATGGCCAAGATGCACACACTAAAACCGATGGTCTCCAGCGTGTCCACTGAGTTCCCCACTGCTGAACCGCATCAGTGTCTCTTCCCTGGAATCGACAAGTTTCTCGGTCTCATTGCCAGCGCATTTACAGTCAAGCTATCTTGTCAAAAGTATGTTTGTAAAAAGCTATACCTTTGTGCATTCTTTTAACACCTTTAAATTCTTTTACTTTAGGCAAAAATGCTTCTGCTATTTGGATAACCTACAGGAGCAGGCAAACTTTTTGAAAGCAGAGCTGCAGATGCTGAATTCGCCCATAGTTTTTTGTCACAACGACTTACTGCTGAAGAACATCCTTTACGATGAATCTCAAAACAAGGTCACCTTCATTGACTTTGAGTACTCGGACTACAATTACCAGGCATTCGATATTGCCAACCACTTTTGTGAGTTCTGCGGAGTGGACAACTTCGAACCAAGTCTCTACCCCAGCAAGGACTTTCAACTTCGGTGGCTGCGCATCTATCTGCAAAAGTGGAACTCTCACAATGACATCACGCCCACTGCGGCAGAGCTGGAGCAAAGTGTAGAGTCCCTCTACGATGTTGTCAGTCGGTTCGCGCTGGCATCCCACCTCTACTGGGGACTGTGGGCCGTCGTTCAGGCGAACAACTCCTCCATTGACTTTAACTATTTAGGCTTTGCACACAAGCGACTCGAGGAGTACTTCAAGCGGAAACACGAGCTTTTTGGAAAGAACAATCACCACAAGCACTGATTGACTGCTGGTGCCCAGCTGCCCAACACTTGCCTGTCTTTTGAACTTTTGGATATTTTTCATCTGTTATGCCGACATTCGATCATTGATAAGGATCGGTATTTTTATCCGTTACAAAGCAATATCATTTGTAATCAATGTTATTTTTTTGTTATTACACATTTTGAAAGTTTCAATAACTTGACAGCATTAAGTGACGTCTAGGCTTTACATTACATGTAATGAATTGAATAAAGGACTATCAGCAGTGACTGCAAGTTTTTTTCACTACATTTGTACCCGCCATGCGAATTGAAAAAGTTACTCTGTAAAAGTAACATCTATTGTGTAGTGCCGGGCAGATGGCACTACGATTGTTTGTTTTGGTTTTGCCAAAATCTCCCTGAATTTCAAACAAAATTTTCAAAGTAAGTTTGCGGTTTTATCCAATTTGTCATCTTTTAATTTTTTATTTAATTGACTTGAAAGCATTCCTGCAGGATGTTTCTAATTGGTCTCAGTGGGGGGATCGGCTCCGGCAAGAGCACAGTGTCTAACTTTTTACGTAACAGTGGCATTCCCGTGATTGACGCTGACCAAATTGCTCGTGAAGTTGTGAAGCAAAACAGCAAATGCTATTTCCTCATTCGTAAACACTTTGGGCCGGAAGTGATCAACGATGCGGACGGAGAAATAAACCGTCCATATTTGGCGCAGATCATTTTTAACGATCCTGAGAAGCGCAAACTTCTAAACAGCATCACTCATCCTGAAGTTCAAAAGCGCACCTTTCTGCAAATACTCTACTACTTTATTACATTTAGCCCTTTTGTGGTGCTGGACATTCCATTACTCTTTGAAAGTAGCATCTACAAGCCGTACATGAGCTACACCATCCTGGTCACGTGCACACCTGAACAACAGAAGGAGCGAATTAAAAAACGCAATGGGTACACTGATGAAGAAGCATCTTCCCGCATTTCGGCTCAAATGCCCATTGAAGAAAAGCGTCAATTGGCTGACATTATCATTGACAACAGCGGTGATCTGGAGGCAACTATTGAGAAGACCAAGGCGGTTTTTCGAGATCTCCGATTTCCGCTCACATTTTGGATTTTTCGCTTTCTCCTAATTGGCCTCACACTCATTCCCACTGTGATTTTACTAAAGCTATTGTAGAGTTTGTTTTAAAAATGATGCCCCAAAACTTTAGAGTACTTTACATATTACAACTTTTTGAACTTTATCACTTTTCCATTGTATAGATGTACAGTCTGTGCAGTACAGATGTTGTGCAGAGATTTGTTTTCATTTATTTAAAAACCCTATATTTATTTACTATCGAGTATTCTTGCGATTGATTATAAATAACAAATATTGCAAAGTTCGCTAATCACCATTTGCTTTGCTTTCTAACTTGTCTTCAAGTTTGCGGTATCTTTCCGCTAGTGAGTCGTAGATTTCGCCAGCATCCGGTGACGGTTTTGTAACCAGCTTAAAGTTTGCGTTTAGTTTGAGTACCATGTCATAGTAAGAGGTGGTTTCCTTTTCTTTGGCTAAAAAATTAGGTTAGAAATTACATATGCTGTAAAACACAAGAACAAATCACTTGCTCATACCATATTTCGCTAGCAGTGCCGATCCGAGCACTGCTGAATTGGGAATGGAGTAGGTGTAGACGGGTGCATTGAAGACATCAGCGAGCACAGCAATGATGGAATGATTGGCCGATGCACCTCCAGTGGCCAGAACTCGAGTGCTGTTGCTTCTCTTGAAGCCAAGGTTCTCTGCATGGATGCGCAGTCGAAGGAACTGACTCTCTACACAGGCGCGAATTTCCACCTCAGCAGCGAATGAAGTTACCTCATTGTCGAAGCGGTTGTAGCGAAAGTCACCCGAAACGACGGGATATATTTCCGGCAGGTCGAGGTAGAAGCCAATGTTGCCAAAGGCACCTCGAGGGGTCGACTCGAGCAGCTGATTGAAGATGTCCCAGCTGGCATCGGCGCAAGTATTGCGAATTCGTTCACGTGTCAGCGATCCGTTTTTGAAGCAGATCAGTCCCATAAAGTGCTCCTCATTAATGGGATTGCAGAAGATGTGCCCGTCAAGTGCCGGTTTCGGAGTACTGAGCGAGAGGAAGGCTGTGTCACTGGTCCCCAGACTGATGGCTACATCGTTTGGCCCGAGACACATGCCTGCCAGTGAGGCGGGATTGTCGCCGGTGAATGCCACCACGTAGCAGTCCTTGTGGAAGCCGTATCGCTCCACAAAGTACTCACTCAGCGGACCGATCACCTGACTGGAGGGCACCACCTCTGAGCCCAGTTTCGCCTCTAGCTCTGTTCCACAAAACTGCAGACACTCTGACGACCAGCGTTTCTCCTTGATGTCCAACAGGTTCATGCCAGAGCCATCAGAGAGGTCGATAGGCGCGTAGTCGCCGATGAAGAGGGAGGCGAGGAAGCTGCTTACCAGACTGATGCGCTCAGTGCTGCTGTACACTTCAGCCTTGGTGTGGGCGATCTTGGCGATCTGACTAGCGGTGAAGCGTTCGTAAGCCCTCGAGCCGGTGACCTCCGCCAGGTGCTGGGCGCCACCGAGGTGTGCCTCCAGCTGGCGGCACTCTCTGCTGGTGCTGGAGTCCATCCAGATGGGCGACTCGCCGAGGGCAAAACACTGCGAGAGCTGCTCATGCAGAAACTTGCCACCCTGCAGCGATTGCAACACCGCCCGGGCCCCTCGCTTCCAGTAGACGCTGCCGTGCTGCTGACCAGAGCCGGAGATGCCCACCACCTGGCTGAAGTCGAGGCCGTTGACGCGCAGTCGGTCCAGTATCAGCTCCAGTGCCTTCACCCACATCAACACCGGTGCAGTGGCGGTCTGATTGTCCTCATGACGATGCACTCCGCCGGTGGTTCTGTCAGGAAAGCAGTGACATCATTAGTACTATTGTTTATTGCCGCCTAGCACACCGCACTCACCGAAACTCGGGCAGGTCACTGTCAAACTGAACACTTGCCTCGCAAACCACTTCCAGGTTCTCGTTGATGGCGATCGACTTGAGCTGAAAAATAGTGTTAACATTAGTAATCAGAAAACATCCTTCTCCATCTCGGTAAACTTACCTGTTGTGTACTCAAGTCAAAGCCTAGCCACACTTTGTCTTCAATGAAACTGTCCATGTTTGGCTGAGTTTTTGCAGCTTTGTAACACTGTTCAGTAGTGGTTGATAAAAACCGTAGCCCCCTTTCTCTGTCAGTTGAAGCAGCAGCAGCAGGCGACACGTTGCAGGCGACAGGCGAAAGTATGTTCAGAGGACTACCGACTAGTTTTGGTGTGTCAACTCGGTCCAGGCATCTCCACTGCCGAAAGCCTGTGCACGACTTGTGCTAATCTTGTAGCCGAAGTAGAAGTGCTCAGCTTAGTTAGTGCGAACCGAATCGCACGATAGCGATTGTTGTCCTCCAGACCTATTTTTTCTCTCTCATGTCGCCCAGTCTTATCGCACTGGTGTGTATGTGTCGGTGTTGTGCGCTTGTGTACGCTTCCATCAGACTGAGCAACAGGTTGCCAACCGAACGAGCACTCGCTCACTTGATGGCTCGTCTTTCTTTCTCGCTTTCTAGCCACACTTGCTTTCTTGTTGCTGCTAATGAACGACAGGAGAGTTGAAGCACCGCGAGATGTTCGTCGCACTGTCTTTCTCTCCCTCTCTTTTTAGCAACCACTGCTTGCTTTTTTCTTTTCTTCTCTCTTAATGCCTGATTTAACAACTGTTTCTCCCAAATACTTTCCTGTCAAAGATTGGGGACACAAAATTGTTCTTATCTCAAATAAGCTATCGAACATTGTGATAAAGTTGTACTGAAGATTTTTAGGCGTAAAAAGAAGATTTTTAGTAAAAGTGATTAAAAACTGAGCGAATGAAAGCTTGTTTTAAATGTCTGACTCACTCTCTTTCAGTTCCCGATCATATGAAGGTAATCACATTTTGCTATAATGCTTGACTTGATCACCGTTTGCTCTTTATTTGAATACACTACTGGTAAAAGGGGGTACAAAAATACAAACACAATAACCTGAAAAGGATATCACTTTAGTCAACAATCACTGGTTAAACAAAGGTGCACTGAAAAACAAAAAACAATAAATGTAAACGTTTTGTACGACAATGCATCAGCCTGACTTACCATACTGTTTCCGTCCCAGCCGTTTTCGCCATTGCCAGCTGCCTCTTACGCTCAATTACCTGCAGCAATTTATCGACAACCCGAGCAATGTAGAACACTTGACAGGGAGTTCGGCACCTGACCTCCAACTGCCGCAATTGCGTCAGCCCCTTTAGCGGCTTCAACAACGCCCTTATGCAGCGCTTTCTCACGCCAATCATTTCAGTGCAAAGACAACACATCCCGCCAATGTCCAGCGACAGCGACTGCAATCGAGGAAAGTGCTTCGCCAGCGCCAACCTCTTCAACACCTTGTGTTGGTAGCCCGGATAATAACGCCCTTCCGAGTTGTTCTCCTCCTCCACGCCCATGACTACGCGAAGGTGGAGTGAAGTCACTGAAGGCAAACAGAAGGTGCTGTGGTGGCTGATGAAGAAAAAAGTTTCGGATACGGCGGAAAGTATGCGCAGGTCAATAGAAAGGCTCTGGAGGTGGGCGGTGGCCGGTCCGGCGGCCAAACTGCCTAGCAGGCAAAGGTAGCTGCTTTCAGAAGAAACGCTGTACGACCAACTGGTCAAGTGGGTAAAATGACGTATTCGTCCGGCGCTCTCATCAACAACATTTTCATCTTCGCCATCACTAGCTCCATCTTCGCCGTCAATATCTCCATCTTCGCCGTCAATATCTCCATCTTCGCCGTCAATATGTCCATCTTCGCCGTCAATATCTCCATCTTCGCCGTCAATATCTCCATATTCGCCGTAAATATCTCCATCTTCGTCGTCAATATCTCCATCTTCACCATCATTAGCTCCATCTTCATCAAACATTGGCCAATTGCCGACCATCAGACTAGCGTGGTTCTCTCCGTAATCTTTAAAGCCGTTGAGGTGCATATGATTAATTTTGCTGGCAAAGATCGGCTTAAAAAAGAGCATCGCCTGCGCCACCTGCTTCGCCGCCGTCTTATCATAGTGGGCGTCGACTATGAAGCCAAATTCATTGAGGACAGTGCTCTCTTCAAGCAGCTTCAGCTGGTTCAGCAACAATTTGCCGGGAACTCGCAGGTGGCATTGCTCCACTGTGGCCAACATCTTTAGCTCCCACTTTGGGTCTTTGATCGTATCGGAAAACTCGGATTCCTCAGCACAGTTCTCCTCGAGCACCAGGCCAAAGTTTTTCAGCCGAGGCCACTCACAACTGTTGAGCGTTTTGATGAATTCATACAGCTCTAGTCGACTGGTTGGAGATATATGGTTGTTTTCATCGACGCCTTCCTCGTCGTCATCCGAGCTGACCAGAATCTGCAGCGAAGTAAGCTGGCCGCTGAGTGCCACCAGCACCTGTTGCAACTTTGTTTGAAAAACGTGAAAATTTTCTTGATTCCCTCGCATGACGATCTTTAGCGATTCCACTTTGGGGAAAGTCTGATCTAGCTCAGTCAGCGGTAGCAGGCCAAAGTGCTCCAGATCAGCGTAAGTGAGCGCAAAATGTTCTTCCTTTTCGTTTGGCGGCAGATGCGTCAGAGGCAACTTTAGGAAGGGCTTCAAGACCGCCTCCATTTTTTGGTTGTACTGAATATCTTGATTGTAGTCAAAGGGGTGTATCATCAGGTAGAGACCCTTTTGAAGGAACTGCTGCAGGAGCAGAGGAGCTGCAGCGGTGTCAGGGTAGGCCGCCCTCAGATTGAGGCGATCTCTGGTTGAGAGCGTGCTTGCGATCATGGTGATCAGTTCGCCAGGAAGGTTGTCCGGAAAGACGATTTTGTATGAGGCATTGGCTACTGCTTTTATCTGTTCGGTGTTTTGTTCTTCAGTTTTCTGTGATTTGTTTACTGGTCCTGATAAGAAAGAAAAGATGGTTAGTTTTTAGCATGTTTTTAAACTAGTTGCAAATGATTAAAGTTTGCAAAACAAATATAAACAAAGTCATACCAGCATGTTGTAGCAAAGAGAAAAGTGTCTCCTCCTCTGGGAAAGGAATAATTTGCTCTTCTTCACTAAATCCTGGACCAGTTTCAAAATTTGCTTCATCAGCAAACCAGGGCAGCATCACAAACACTTGATCGTCAATCCTGAAAAAGTTCGATGAATCCATATCGGTAGACCATGTGAGCAAATCAAGAAGAATAGCAGCGCTAGCTACACAGATGCCGATCGTTCGGTTGTCGTTTTTGAGGTGATGAAATGGCTGAACTGCTATCAAGATTTCAACCCGAAAGTTTAGCAGCGGGTTTTAAAAAACACTACTTTAGAAGAGATGCCAAGAGAAAATTGAAAGATAGACGAATTTCGGCGCTGTTCAGGAACTGAAGTCGCTTCTGCCTCAGCTCTAAGCTGGGACTCAAAACAGTGAGCCAAGAGTCTATTTCGAGTGGAAAGAGTGAGCACACGTTTTCATTGGGATTCGCACCAAAATGTAAACAGTTGCATATTATTTAGTTAACTTCACTGAGAAATTGTGCACTACAAGTAATACATTTTTAGAAAGGTAATTTTAGGTAGATTGTAAATAAAAAATACCAGAGTAATGCACCTTATAGTTTTTGAGAAAATCGGGTCTAAAGTTGACCAAGTTTGGGCTTGTTTTTCTGTAAATGCCGATAGATGGAATTACTGTAGTAGAGCCAACAGTTTTTTCGATTTTTCAAAAAATCTTAAAAATGTTCAACTTTAGATCTGATTTTCTTAAAAGCTATAAGGTGTCTTATTTTGATAATTTTTATGTGCAATTTTGTAAAAAATACCCTTTTGAAAAGGTATTACTCGACATACTTTGCTACTGTTATTTTTACAAGTTTTAAAAATTAATCACGTATATAAAGTCATTATTGAGTAACTTAACTAGATGGCAACTTCAAATTTAAAAATTTTTAAAATNGGAGAGATTTACAAGCATGACGTAGTCCAGACTGACTTTTAATGGTAGAGGGAGCAGCTTATAAAGCATTTACAGAGGTTTCGAACTTCGCGTGAGCAAAGCCACGTCACCAGCGGCCTGGTGGCCGCTACTTCACGTATATAAAGTCATTATTGAGTAACTTAACTAGATGGCAACTGCAAATTTAAAAATTTTTAAAATTAAAACTAAAATCATTTGCAAATACAATTTATTTTCTAAAGATTCTAAAAAATATTTATACTTTATTTATGATATATTTAATTTTCTTTAAAACTAGTAAATTACGCCGATTTGATTATTAACCAACTTATGAGCTAATAAAAAGATTGTGTAACAACTTATTTTGACACTTAATTACTTGAAAGAGATCACAGAAGTTAAAAGTATGGTCACCATTGATTGCCTCTAGTTTGAGGTGTTGAATACATGACAGGTAGTAGTGATGACAGAAGTGAAGAGTGCTCTCTACTACCAGTGCACTTCATTGTCACCCTGACCCTGAAAGTGGCCTGTGAATTGGCCCAATTGTACTGAATTGGGTAGTAGAGCCAGTGAATGACTGAGTAAGTGGTAATTGGCAATTGGTGTCGCCAATTGTGTGACTGTGACTGCGATTGTGAGTGTGTGCCAAGCGGCAACTCAACAGCGAAAGTGAAGCTGCTGTCGATGTGTCTGCGTAACGCGATAATTTGCCATTTAGTCATACTTTCGATTATAAAGCGCTTCACATAGAGCAATGGAGTAATAACAGTACTTGTGGCAAATAATCACGGTAATGGCCGTTCGGTTTGTTTGAGCAGCTAGCCTAGCTCGCTAGCTGTCCTCGACTGTCCGTAGCCACCAGCGACGTGCTTGTTATCGACGACGGCAAGCGCTGCTGTGCTCCGCAATGCCTTCAAATAGATGTGTCTATCTGTCTGTCTGTGCCAGTGTCTTCACATGCATCCTCTTCTAATTGAGCTGATTATATTTCCATAATATGGCAAGAGTGAGCAATAATCGACTAGAG